TCTAAAAAAAACTTGTGTGTACTATATAAAGACTTCCTCTAGAAGGTCAAGATCTATTTGTATGTTTCTGTAATCCCCCCTTCTTCCAGATGAGATCTTTAATAGTACAAATAAATCTATCGCTAAATGTTCTGTTTCCTGACCATATATTCTGTTATGCCCTTGTTGAAAGCATTGTACATTGTATGGAGATTACATGTATCTACATCAAAAAGACCATTCCATTCTGAATCAGCAGCTTTGACTGGCTTGGAAACTTCTCTACAAGTTTGTTTTGTTAATAATTGGTCCATTGCTACCCAATGCAACTAGGGATTCCAATGGTATGCAATCAACCTGTAATGTTTCCACCATATGCTTGGCAACAGACTTCCATCTCCATGAGAGACAAACAATAACTTGTAATACCTGCACCAGATTTCATCATGGGTTGAGGACCAATACCTTATCAAGAGATCCATTTGTTTTTTTACCTGTGCCTCAGTTGTTTCATCATACTGCAATAAAAAAGAAATATTTGAATTTTGTGCATCATATATCAAAGCAGAAGTGAAAGCTGGACCCAAACCAAATGATAGTATGTAAAATAACTTTGTTCTGCTCATAATGAAACTGTCAGCTATCAGGTATTGGAACATTGCTTTGAAAGTTTCAGCAATACCATCACTAGTTTTGAAACTTATGTTGGACAATGCACATTTTGCTGCCCAGATAACTTCCATACACAAGGTATCCTTTCTTGGGGCAGTGTAAGTCAGAACTGTGAACTTATCTTTTCCAGATAATGTCTCAGATATCTGACTAGAAGGTCCTGCTTTTCACCTGCAAACTCTGTACTTGCACTTTCCTTTAAGGTGTCAGTGGTTGGTTGACTTTTTAATATGAGTTTCGTCTGATTCGATAAAAGAAGGGATTTATTCAGTTTTTATATAATGGGATCCTGATGCTTGTTGAAGGATCTGTTTAAGTCCACTATTGTCTCATTTGATTTCAGATTTACAGATGGTACGTTTTGCCTAATACAAGGTACTTCCTTTAACACTTCATAACTTCAATTCATGTCCAATTCCATCAACCTCAGACAAACCACCTTTCACTAAACTTAGTTTTGTCTTCTGGCATAATTAACAATTAGCAAACTCTTACCTGAAATAAATATTGAAATATTAGACTGTCATGAAAATTTTCTAAAACAGATTCAGTTGTTGGATATTTTAACACCTTTTCAACATTTCTTTGAAAAACATCTAGATAGGTTGCTCTAGTTAAAATTTACGCAGCATAAATATTCTGAACTTTCCTTCCTCCAAAACTGACAAATGTTTTTGTTATTACCACAATAGTATTTAATAGTGCATTTCCTCATGCTAATGAATGTATTATAATAATTATGTTTTTAATTTTTCAGTCAAAAAAAATCCAGTCCATTAAATGGTGAGGACAATGGTTTCCTTGATTTGAATGGATTCAATTAGTATATCCAACAAATGAGGCTGTTAGTGGCTGGACTAGGCAGGGGCTACATCTGGAAGAAATACATATATTCTGAGAAAAAGTACAGAAATATAGTCGTAAAAGACATAATCTTGTAATATTTCTTCTGCAAAATTTTTACATTAAGTATGAAATTTTTATTTGAATTTTTTATATTTCTTGCTTACCCACTTTCATAAATATAGGAAAATATAAGAATTTCTGTAAAATATAGGATGAAAATACAAAACATAGGAAAAAAAATAAGTATTTCTATGAAATATACGAATAAATAGGAAAATATAGGAGTACATGACACCTTGTTAGAGTAAACAAAATTAGACAGAATTTAAATGACCACCTTGTGTAAGTCATGTTGTAGAAAATAAGAGCCACAAAGTCTGCAAAGACAGGATTGTTATGAAAATAGAAACAAAAAATGTTTCCACAACAGTTGGTGTTATAAATTTTTCAACTAAATTTTGATGTTGAGAAATCTCGCTTGAGTGAAAAAGACACATGTTAACACACAAGTGCCAAATCAAGATGTGAAGATTGAACAATCAATATACAGGGAGCCAGCTGCACTACGAGATTGTGTCACACTCCAGTTAATGGAGGGTTGTATGAAACAATGCAGCAACATCACATGGAAATACATGAGATTAAGTGGGAGCCTCAAGGTTAGTGGTGAGCAAAAAGGTTTGCACATAGAGGGCAACACTGAGTCGGGAAAAATAAGGTTATGTACGATATGGGAAAGAACATTTCTCTTCATCACATTAAGGATAAGTATTAAGACCTTAATACTTGAAGTTCTTAGGAAATATATGTCATGTTTAAGTCACACTTAACAAAAAAGAAATACTGGACACAGTTGTTTCAGTTTTAATTAAAGAATAGAGTTTATCAATTTAAACTAAACAAAGGTATGTGAAGTCTACCTTATTTGCCATAGTAGCCCAGCTTCTTTTATATATATATATATATATATATATATATATGTATATGTACAGCATTTAGGGACAGCTAAACTCCAGACAACTTCACTAGACTAACACCAAGACAATTCTGATATGGATGAAGACAGTAATTATTCTGAGGTACGTATCTGCTGGATGCTAACATTCCAGTTTATTTTTTGCTAATACTTCTCATATGGACTTCTCATCCATATCAGGAGAAAAATCTCTTTACCAAAGCAAAGGAAAGTAACTTTTTTCCATTTATCCATTTCTAGTGCATCAGACTTCATGACAAAGGAATTAATGACTTACCTAATGTAATGACCACCTACAGTAGTAGACATATCTGCATTTACTATGATTATGTGTAACAGCAAAGAGTGACATTAGAGATTCACACAGAATGTCTAGCTGAGCACTAAAATCTTAAAATATTTGCCTGAATAAAGATATTCATTTTCTATGTTATAAAAGGGTTATAGACATAATAATATCTGCACATTATAAACTCCTCACTGGATGCCACTTTGAATAATATAATATTTATACAACTGCTTGTTGAATGAAAAGTGTACATTTTTTTTGCTTCTATACTGGGGCCTTCTTTATGCTTCCTTCTACAGGCAGTTGCAGTGCATTAAAATTCTCAAACTTACTACGTCTATACTCTGCCTCAAGTTCCACTAAAACAATGATGTTGATGTAAGTCTTGAACAATGATGTACACAAACCCTTTTGAAAAGTGATTGAAAACAGTATGAAAAATAAACAGATCACATTAACTACTTGAACAAATCTTGCATTGGAAAAGTTAAAAGTGTCTGAAGGATAGTGAACTTGGTATAAATCCAAGAATATGCATATATCACAGTCAAGATAAATACAACTGACACATTCCTCAGAGCATTACATGTCAGCTACATTTAATTAAGATCATATTTCATGCATTAATTCTCAAGTAAAGGTCATGGAGGTTGGTAAATGTGTAATCTATTGCAAAGGTTGTTCCACAATACCAAAAATCTTATGTATTAGTCCAGTTGCCACATCCTGAACCCAAAATTATCATCCACACAATACTTTTCAGTGGTTTACATGTTTCTCAAACTTACAGATTAAGGATTTGTATGATGACACTTCTGAATTCTAAGAGGAAACTGAAATACCAAAGATGGCTACTAAGAAGGTAGCAATGACATATACGTGACCATATTTTGGCTTCTATGTTAGTTAGAACAATGATTTTGGTGCCTATGACCAGGTTTGGGGAGGGTCAAAGAATCCATTTCCCACTTTATCTAACTTATGGAGGATTTTATTGTTTAAAATGTCCAAGATGGCTCCTTTTAATACATAAATGGCCATTGCTCACCTCCTATATCAGTTATCCTAATGATTCCTATGTCTGTGACTAGGTTTTGGAGGCCATAGAATCCATTTTTCACTTTGTCTCAGTAATAAGTCTATTACCAAAGCTAGAATCATAGATGAATGTTTTTACCAGTGTATAAGCAGTAATAGTGTAGCTGATATGAAACAAATTCTAGTAATATTAATTTGTGGAATGAATTTCTTTTTTTCCAGGCTAACAAAGAGAATGTGACAATCTTTTCAAAACATCAGTGGTGGCTGCAACATTGCATTAGAATAATGGCTGACTGTTTCAACTGCGAACTTCAGGATAAGCAACTAACTTCTGCTGGCACAGATTGCATATACAAAATTGTATGGTCAAGTAAATTTCAATCTTGAGTATCAGTCACACTATTACTCCTTATACACTTGTAAAAGCATTCATCTAAAAATCTGGCTTATATAAAAGATCCATCAGTGAAGCAAAGTGAAAAAACGAATTCCTTGGCACCCTAACCTACCCAGAGACACCAAAATCATTGTCATAGCTGATACAGAAGACAAGAAGTGGTCATTTATATGTTGAAGCAGCCATCTTGGAGGTCATCTTGGATATTTCAGTTTCCCCTATGATGCAGAGGTGGCATCATTCAGCTTCTTAATCAGTAAGTCTAAAAGATATAAAACCACAAAAAACAATATTATGTTCTCTTTTTATTTACTAGGTTTCTTTCATTTAGAAAAGAAGAAAAAAAGTTACAAAAAATATAGGCATATTCTGTATTTTACATAGTGTGTGGTTGAGAGATCAAAATATACCTTTCTTGAGCTTAATAAACAAATCAAAGATAAAACAAACCGTTTCAAAAACATATATTGCTATCATAATAGTATTACTGATGAATAAAATTACTTTATTGAGTTTTCTCAATGAAGCAAACATTATCTGATTTTGTTACAAAGTTCTCTCTTTTTAATCAGTTACTGTTAATTATGCCTATATAACTATTAAAAGTTCTAAATGTGAACCAAAATTATAACATAAGAGCTATATTGTTAATATTTTCTCAACCTGATCTTGTTTCTTATAGTCAAAGTCTTATATATATAAAAAAAATGAATTGACACATTTGGCACATTGTATTGGCGGTTTTATAGCAAAATCAAGAACTTTTTTCAGCGAAAAAAGTAGCTAGAATTAAATAATACCTCATGCCGTGTGTCTACAACTCTTATACCACATTTCTCAGCAGCAACCAAGATGGGTGAAATGTGGCCTCCCACAAGAGTAAAGATAAACTTCACCCCATGTTCCTGAAAAGAAACATATCTTTAATTCATTATGTATTTATCCAAATTTATACTATCTTATCTACGGCATATGTTGTGAATATTTTTATGAGCATAACATTCATCATTCATGTAATTTAGTAAAAAGCAAACTAAACCAAAAATTCACATATATGACAAATCAGTTTATTACATGTACAGTAATGACTACTTTCAAATGTATAATAAACATGTAAGAACAAGAAAATTACAAGTCATATTCCAAAATTCTAATCGCTTATTTCTTTATCAACATGAAAATCATCGATTCTTGTTTTCACCTAAAAAAAATACAGATATTATATTTAAAACATTCTCAGCATCTTTACACTTTACACAAATAAAATAGTGAAGGATGAAAAAATCAGCCATAAAAGGTGCACTATCACTTTTATTATAAGTTATTTTTAAACATTTTTTTTTATATGTAGTATATTCAGGTGAACTGAATATATATGTTTGAGCTGTTAAATAGGTCTGTTAAATAACAGGATATTCATTCAAGATATTGATTTACAAGTGTAACTAAAATTTTACTTAAATAAAACAATGTAAAATAAAGTAATGAGACTGGAAACATGTAATACACAAAGTTAACATTTTTCATACACTGAAAATGTATTTCCAACAGGTACTTATCTTCCTCTCACACAAAGCTATCTCGATCTTCTTTCTATCCTATAACCATTGTTTAAAAATTTAGCAATAATGCACCAGTCTATATATTCTGAACATGTATATATCATGTGATTACTCTTCACTAACAGTACTGCACCACCTATATTTGTGCAGCTATCTCCCTCTGCTATTCCTGCTTAATCATCAGCCTCTAAAAGAAGAACACCTGCAGTGGTGAGGAAGGGTGGGAAGTGTGTGAGAGATGTAAGTACGTATCGGAAATACATTTTCAGCATAAGAGAATATTATCTTCCAATATGGTGTTACCTCCATTGGCACAAAGCTAGAATCCCACATTGCAAAAGTGGATGGCCCAGATCAAGAACACAAAATTGAAAACAAGCATAAAGCAACTGCCCAGAATGAATGGGTGTGCTCTGAGATGAAAACAAAGCACACTTGTAGGGTAACATACTACTTATGGAACAAGTACACTCTTCACTCTTGAAGTAGGAAATGAATCTGATACGGGTATAAAAAAGGATATGCACAAGTGGAATTTGTTCTGAGAGGTTCAATCCATAGTGAAATATACACTGAATTAGCTATGTACATACACAACCTCAACCAGCTAGACGAGGTTCCATAACCCGTCCTCAGCATTAGGAGGTTGAGGATAAAAAAACAAATATATATATTGTATCATAAACATAGTAGCTAGGGCACGTGGACCATGTTACATATACTCATTAACCCCAACCATACGACCATGATTTTTGGGTGGAAGGTTGAAAAATGACTCTCTATAAGAACTTTTCTTCATATCAATAATGCAATTTACAGACACACATGAATACAGTGTATACAGTATGCAACAAATAGGTCACATTACCAGAGATTGCTTCAGAGCTTAGTATATGTATCTTGGTACCTCGGGATGTTCAAGTCAAACTCTTTAGTACATACACATAGGTATTTTGGTTTAAAAACTTTCAGCTCCTGAAAGATAACCAGGGATGGTCAGAAACTGTTGTTTATCTTCGCCCCACTCGCGGAATTAAGGTTTATTCTTTTAGTGAATGTAGCAGGTTTTGAGCTAGTGGCCTAGACGTTAAGTAACTTGATTAGTATTTACTGGCAAGGTGTGAAGATTAACAACCCACAGTTTTTTGAGTGACAGACTTGACTAATCTGTGTGATAAGCATGGCTAATAAAATGCCTCAAGCTGACAACTAGAAGTTGCTGTGAAGAAGGCTTGAAGTGTTGATACAGAAACATGATGTGGACATTGATATAGACCAAATTTGTGATGAAAGCAACAAAATAAATGAAACATGGAAATCAGAGAATTTTTAGTCAACTTGAAATTGTTTTAATACATATTACATTTTATGTAGTATTTGTACTCGGAGAGGATTATCTTATTAGGTATTGGCAGGAGTCTAGCAATCATTTAGTTTAGATATTTATTCTTATTTCTTTACTGGTTCTTTTAAATTCACTGAATGGTCCCTTTTCAGAGCTAGGAACATAGGATCCAAGTTTCAAGGTGAAATTTTGGTTTAGGATGGGATTATTTTGTTCAGTTAAGATATGTAGCTTCTAATGCTTGGTTTTTTGTTTAAAATTACAGCATTTTGTATAGATATATTGTGGATTTTTTGAGTTACAATGGTGATAAATACAAGTATGGGATGTTTTTTATTATGTTTGGTCAATCTAGTTTTCAGTTTTCTTCCAGTTTCTCTGATGTAGAATTCTGGACATTTATTGCACATTATTTTATAAACTGATACTAAAATTGTGTGCTGAAAACTAACAATGAAATGCTTCTTGATATAATAACTACCAGACTTGTGAACATTCAAAGTGGATGATTTTTTATTAAATAAATTTTATGTCAGTTTGTAATATTTTATATGTGATATGTGGATGTTTATGAAATAAATGTGATCAATGAATAAATTATCTTACATAAAACACCAACCAAACAATTTTAAGTGATATTTATTGAACTGTTATCCATCATAACTATTATTATTATTATACAGTGTACCAATTTGCTACGATATCTGACTACCTATACAATATATAAACCATTATGCTCAACCCCTGGGAAAGCAACTGGCACAGCTTGAACTTGGTCAATCATTATCTGGTTATTAATCCTTTGAATAATGACTTCCTGTTAGACGCGACTTTTTTATCATGGCAGATAGGTTGGTCATATCTCTCCAAATCTCAACCGTAGGAGCAGGGAAAGAGCCTCCTCCAGCCATAATTAACAATAGGAGGGGCCTCTAGTACACACAACTAAGGGAACAGGGCAGTGTCATCCCGAACCCAGTATTATGAGGAGGATCCAACATACTCCAACCGACAGCTGTCCACCTGAGAAAAAACATGCAGGGGAAATGGAACGAGGGAAACCAGCTTTGCTCTCTTCTCACTGAGTGTATAATTATGAGTAGGTATGGTAAATTAAATTTCTAAACTCACTAAAGAGGAAGCCTCCATAGTCCACCACTGCAGCAATTGGGAATTGGGAAGGGGTTAGGACTCCCATTCTTCACTGGAAGAAAGAAAAGGGGAAGAAAATGCAGTGTGGAGTCTGGAGAAACATTACACCAGATAAAGTGCAATGGGTGTCTGAGATTCCCTATTTTAAAAATCAGACTGACCCCGATTTATTCAATCAAAGGGTCGGCAGAGATGTGCAGAAATCGCCTTCTGCTTTACTCATGAAGTCCATGAGTGATTGTCCACCACTGAATGAAATTTACTGATATTTATAAACATATATACATACCAATGGGTATGTCACCAGTGATCTTGCGAAACACCCCAACTCTACAGTGAGCATTATAGTGCAATCAGTAAATAGTGCAGGTTTGAGGCAAAATATATATCCGATAAGGCAACACCTGCCACAGAGTGGGATCCCATTATCATTGGTTAAAACTATGGTTATTGAAAATAAAAGCATAAATGAAAGGAACTGATAAGAGTTATCCAAGTCAAATGCAAACAGAAATGTGTAGAATTGCCACTGGAGGGAGACGATATCCACCAGAGGAAGATACAGCCAGATTGTGCAGATAATGAGTGACAAAGTATTAGGAGTAGTCCACATTCCAGCCTGAATAATCTCCTCCAAAGGATGGTGAAGGCTAGCATGTAATGTGATGAATTTTATGAGAAGAAATGTTGTGGAGACGACAACATTTCATGTATAAGTCCGAATACACCAGTCTAATGAGTTGATGAACCCAACCAGTTAACATGACAGGGGTCAGATCACGGGAAAGGGAAGGGTTCCAGAGAATAAAAAATTGGAGACGTGAACCCCAAAAAAGACAGAACACCATAAGTAGCAAATTGGTCAAAGAAGCCAATCAGGATAGGAATGGGAGAACAAGTGGGAAATGGAAGGGAAGGAAATAGGTATGAAAGCCAAACATTCTTCAAAGGAAGCATAAGTCTTTGGGAGGAAAACCAGTCAGGATATAGGATGACATAAGAGGAATGATAAATTATGTGTGTAATATTAATGTCATAAATATCTCATCAACAACATTCACAATCAAGGAAGAAAAGGAAATAGGACTTCAGGGAGAGAGATGGTACATGGAACACAATGGCAAAGGTTCAAAGGGAGGACAGGAAAGAGCATAAAGGACCCCATTGAGTTCCCACTTGTGTTAATCAAAGGAATGTGAAAGATATACGACTCAAAAGGTGCAGAAAAGGAATGAAATGACAGGGGAAGAAAAACCATATGAAACTTAGAGAAACGGAAGGTGTTCGACAAGGCCATCCGATAGCTATACACAGTTGAAGCAAATAAGCCTTTATTAAACAACCAAGTGAAGAACTGGGAAAGATGAGGAAGGGAAGAGTGGGAAGGAGGGAAGCCATATCGAATAGACCAAAGGCAGAAGGGAGACCATTGCCTTTGGTAAATGGCTATGGAAGAAGGTCTGATGGATCAAGAAAAAAAAATCCAACATGTTTAGTCTATTCCTATACTAAGGCAAGGGCCTGACAAAAGCCATGGGTGAAGACAAAATGTGGTGACATCTAAATGAACAATGTCTGATCTAAGTTGAGAGAGTAGAGACTGCAACAAAGGTAAAGGTAAGGGAGGTTGTACAAGAAAAGGTCAGAGCAGAGGGAACCACAGTGGCACTGACCAACACGGAGCACCAGTAGGACTAGATATGGAGGGGTTTGTTTAAGGGATAGAACTCTGGAGGTGAGTCAAATAGGAGGGTAAGAATAGATGTGAAGATCCCTCCAAACTTGACTGAATGCATCCACCCCTAGAGCTAGCAGGTGTGGAACAGGAGACCAAAAGGAAGGAAGT